TCGTCGTCGTCGTCGTCGTCGTCGTCCTCTACTCTCTCTCTCTCTCTCTCTCTCTCTCTCTCTCTCTCTCTCTCTCTCTCTCTCTCTCTGAGACAAAAGATGTGCGCGCAGTGATATCAGATGCAGCTCTTCTAAAAAATAGATAAAGAGGATATGCATACAAAGAAGAGATATGTTACGGCTCATAACATGCCTTTCTTTATATATGTATCCCCTCCACCTATTCTTTGGCATCCTCCGTCTGGTGCAGTGATACAATTTCGAGCCCGCGCACAACGTTGATTTTCCCCCTTCACTTATGTACACAGAGATATGTCGACTTAGCCGAATGCGTGATCACACGATTCACAAAGCGGCTCTATGAATGTAAGTGGAAGAGGAAAACCGATGATGTGCTCGAAATCGCATCATTGGTCTGGTGTCATCATTGGTCGCTCAGCATCACGTTGCGCGGGAAGTAATAACAACAGTGCTGGTGAAATTATATAACCGCCAGTTAAGTTAATCGAAGTTAGTTATTTCTGTTTTTATCAATGTATCTCAATTTTTAATCTCTTTAATCTTAATTTAACTTTTTTTATCTTTTTCTAAAAATTAGAAAATCGAAGGTTAAAGTTAATCTACATTGGTAAAAATGAACATTAAGGACGTTATGTCACCATTATGTTTTATTGCACATTGTTACATTTAGAATAACTGAAGATTAGAATTGCAGAAATTATAAATCTTTAGCAGTGTTAATGAAGAAAGAACATTATAAAACAGAAAAATATAATAGTTTTCTCTAATTTCGATATAATTGATATCGTGACGCTACGGCGTTGCACACACCATCTATTTATCTTTCACCATCTATTTATGTTTTTATTTATTGAGACAATTAAAATGGAATATAATTCTCAATATGACTATTGAAATTGCTGTGAAAATACTTACGGATAAACCAGTAAGTTGTTCTTCTTCTTGTTACTTTATTTATGAAACAATACACTTGGGCTTTTTATAAGAATTATAACAATAAATAAGTTTTAGGAAAAATCTTTTTGTCAGAAATAATTCTATATATCCATGGATTTATAATTATCGATTATGAAAATTGTTGTTTTATCGTATATTTTTATAATTTATTGGTATATACTTGTTATTCGTAATAAATAGCTAATAACTAACTTATTCTTAGCATTTAATTTTTACAACTTTCTTAGACTGCATAACACATTAAAAAGAGATCATTTTAAGAAAATTACCAATATCATCAATATGGTATGTATGTTAATTTTACGTAAACCAAGATTTATATTTATTAATATTTATATTTTGTTGCAGTATGCTGTACTAGAATTGCCTGTATACATATCTAAGCCAACTATTTATGCAGTACCAGCTTGTACTAAATGGCTAGAAAATATTTATATTAAAATATGTACAGAAAATGGTAAAGAAACTAGATTTGCTGATATATGCAAGTGGTCTCCAGATGAATCTAAATTAAGTGATTATCTGGAAAAAAAGACAAGACCAACTGATACTCGGACCACTTATAAAAATGTTAAAATTTTAAAATTTTGCAGTATATATTATATGTATATGAGTGTGCGTGCGTGCGTGCGTGCGTGCGTGCGTGCGTGCGTGCGTGCGTGTGCATGCGTGTGTGGTGTGTGTGTGTGTGTGTGTGTGTGTGTGTGTGTGTGTG